TAGGAGTAAAAGTACACTTGGAGCCTCACCTCAGCCCCCCCCCCCCCCCCCCTTCTTTTTTTAAAGTCGGAACTGACTTAACCCAGTTGGATAGGCAGATCTGCGGTCTACGTGAGAGTGGCAGTGGAGTTGGTTAATTCTTGATGTTAGTAGGTACAGAAACAGGAATAAACCGCTGACTGTGATCATTAAAATATCAGTGTACATCAGGGCTGGAATACGCATGTGAGAGGCCCGGAGTCCGCTTGGATGGGCACCCCCTTTCCAACTTCCCCTACTGCACACAAACACACCACATGCTAAGCTCAGTTTAACTTAAATCCTATTGAATAATATTGCACTTTTAGTTAGGAAATGCTGAACTGAACGGTGGCTATTATTCCAATGTTAAAATACAAGGTGATCCCCCCAAAAAACTGAACAACTTTTTTAAAAAATATCTCGCAAAAAAGTACTTTAAAATGTTGTAATTTGGAACATATACGTGTATAATTCACTCATGATTTGACATAAATTCACAAACAAGAAACTTATTTTCGAAAACGGAAATGGCTTTTGCACCAATTTAAAAGATCTTGTAAGGAAAGTCGTGAAATGATTGGGGTTTTTTTTCCTTTCCTTTTATTTTTTAGAATCTAATCTCTCCATCCTTGTAACCTTTAACAATACTTATTTTCTCAGAGTTAAAAGAATATTTTTTTTGAATTCTGGAATTCCGAGAACCACTGATGTCCTTCTTTGGACTCGACACATTTTAACGCGTTGTTCGTAATGTTCAGTGGTCGCCAAACATGAGGATCCGCTCAACCATGAGTACTCAAAGCTACACACATGTACACCTTACAGTATATTATGGAGCTGTTTCTGGAATAAATAGGGGGGTGAGGTTGCCCAAATAGACAGCATTTGTGGAGTTGATAGGCCTATAACCTGAAAAGAGACTATGGGCTTTGCCAAAGAACCGCAAATGCCACCGAGGAAATGTTCACGCTCTTCAAGACGTGATAATATCGAGGAATCATGAACACATTATTGCTGTCGTCTGATAGCTTCACGAACGGGAAAATGATAACATACAGTCGTAGATGAAGATCTGCCTTGAGAATGCGGACCGTTGAGATGTAGGGAAGTCATTGCTGCAGACATTGTCTACGGACAGACGTCTCTATGGGGCTCATTTACGGTACTGAATTCTGAACCATATTGGTGACGTTTAAAGGAGTGTTAACGGTGTGTGTTAGCTGAAACTGAAATGATCATTTTGTCTGGGAATTTTTAGTTCTGATTCTCTACTGATGGACCGTTTTCACCCTTGGCATAAAAAAAGGTCGTCAGGGCACTTTAACAGTATTTCCGTACCTTTTTTTGAAACTTACGAAACGAGTTGCTGGTGGGGGAAATGTTCAATACAAAAAGCTCTGCTGCTCTTTAACTGATCTTTACCGTGATATTTCAACAGGCAAAGGAAACTTGGAAAAACTATCTGTAAACTTTTGTTGGCCTAGCTGTTAGCTAGGCTACTGTAGTTTGCAATACGGCGCAATCGTTGTTGTTGTTGTTGTTGTTGTTGTTTTTTTGTTTTTTTTAAGTGACGTATAGGCCTAATGCGAACTTATCGTGCGTCGTATGCTACATGTACAAAAATGGGGATATAGTTGAAAATGGGTATAATTTTTTTACGCGCTATGTAGAGTAATACCATTCTGTGGATTTACCTAAAATTAATATGAGACAAATTCCTTAAATTTTTGACTTCCAAATATTGTGTAGCCTACAAATTATTTAATTTTCAATAAAAAGTAAAGTAGCATATATATATCACTAACAAGTAAATAAATATAATTCAAATCAGAGAATGGAAGAGTTATATGACCATAAACAGCATGGACACTTTTCTTGATTTTTGCACGTCAATTAGCGTTGTTGATATTGTCACTGACTGAAGTCCAGTACCGGTACATGAAGTATCTGACTTGATAACTCTACTATCTTGGCGGAAGCCTAGCTTCTTTTAAAGTGGGTGGCCCAGGGCCCGCAGGACCTTCTTAATTATGGCCCTCCTCTTATTAAAAAGTTTATCAAATATCAGGCCCTGATGTACACAAAGACAAAGTTTACAAGAGAATAAGAGTTGGAGTAGGCCTGAAATCTAGCTGAGGGGTTTTATATTTTAAAAAAATTCTTTGGCCGTCAAATAAATAATATACTATGGATACTGGTCAGCATGTGTGAAACAATGAAATCATTGTACTAGGCTCGTTCTGATCATTTTGAAAGGTTGTACACTAAAGTTACTGACCTCATAAATCATTTTAAAACAATACAACTACAATATAGGGCCTAGCGTATTCATATAATGTAGATCTAGTAGCTGCAATGATAGAACAGTTGAGAAATAGTGAAGAAAAAAAAAAAGAAATCACACAAGAAAAATTATCCGGATATGACTGGTGATCATAAATGAAAGGGAACAAAATAATTACTGAATTTTTATTTTAAAAAAAAAAAAAAAAAATCACCTCCGACGGGACTCGAACCCGCAATCCCCGGCTTGCACATGTGATCAGCCGATCCGGCTAGGAGGCCGATGCCTTATCCATTAGGCCACGGAGGCTCTGTCCGTAATGGCGATCCATAATTATATATAGTTGAATATATTTTACCGGAAGAGGTAATAGTAATACCCAAGACCGACAACTGGCGTCAACTGGAGCTACCCCCCCCCCTCCTTGTTCCACACCCTCACGTTTATTATTATTATTATTATTATTTTCCAGCTTGACAATTAAAATTACCCTCGTAGATTGTCTAGATCTAGATCTAGATCTAGTACGTATTAGTACCGGTACCGAGTTGGCTACCTCATTTCTGTGTAATTTAAAAATTGTCGTACATTGTTCATTGTTTTATATTTTTAAAATCTAGATCTATTATATCTAGAAATCTAGATCTAGATCTAGATATAGATTATAGATCTAGATTAACTGAGGCTGGATTGTACTTTACCGGACCACCCGTCTCGGCCCGTGATTACTACGCACGCCTAGCCTAACTACGCACTCATAGTAC